AGGTTGTTTATTCTGTTTATCTCTCACATGTTCTGCTGCCCTGGCCAGCTCTGTCCTGCAGGGCAGCGTGTGGGGCTCTGCCCTCAGTGGGATGTGACAAACATTAAATACCAGAAACTCCTTGGGCTGGATTTACAAGAACGTGCCAATATCTGTCACCTACGTTGGACAGTGTGTCCCCAGCCTGAACCAACAGAAAAATGCCAACACCACAGTGAGACATGGAGGGCATGAAGGAGGAGAAAAAGGACAAGGCACATCCAACTTCCTCCATCTTGTCCCCTTTGGACCCCTCATCTAGAATTCCAAAATTTTACTTTTGCACCCGTGCCACACTTAATTATTACTGATATCAAACACTCAGAGCTGGTAATTCATCCTGTGAGATTGAAAACTCTTTTCCATGGACAGAGATCACAGCCAGTGTCTCTGGGGGCTCTGTCCAGGGGGTTCCTGACCCCTGCCAGGGTCCCAGGGCAGCCAGAGGGAAGCCCTGGATTCCCACATCAATCCTTTTGGTAACGCACTCACTGAGCTCCACATCTAGGAAGCGAATCAACCGAATCTCCCATTTCATTTTTGGACACAAGCTCTATTGTCTCAGCAGAACTTGTGACATCCTGCTGGGCCCAGAGGTGCCCCAGTGCCCGTGACTCGGGGGCTGTTTCTGGAGCAGCAGCCCCACGAAGCAGCAGCAATCCCCAGCAGGTCGGTGCCCCGTGCACAGCGGGCACTGCCCGCTGACCTTTGCGGGTGAGCGATTCCCCCTCCTGTGCCAAGCCTGTGCCAACCCCGCTGACCTGGCCTCAGCCCTCTCCCAAGGCATCTGGAATGTAAATGCTTCAAATGCATTTCCCTCAAGGAACTCCTTCAGCACTGGGGTTTATTTTTAGCTAAGCCATGTTCAACAGGCAGCAGAAACACAGGGAGGAACTGGAGGATTCCACCTTCACAACATACGGACATGAATGCATTCAAAGGTGAAGCACAATCAAATATTTCTGGAAAATAATTGTCTTAAGCCAATGCTTCACTGGTTCCTGGAAAAGGTTGTTGAATTTCTGCTCTCCCTACCTGCAGGCACTGAATCAGAAGCCAGGGATTTTGTTGTGATGGTTTAGTGAACTCTCAAGTCTGACTAGAAATAAATTTATCTCCAGGCAACTGGCCAGCCTGGAGACGAAGGATGAATTCTGCTCAAGCAGCCTCCCAGGCAGTTTACCCCAGCTCTAGAACTGTGCTGGAAGTAGCAGAGGGAGGTGAGGAGCCCTTCCTTCTGTGCTGGTAAAGAGATGATGGAAATAATGCTGTCTGCAAACCAGGATCCTCCTGCTCTGTCCTGCCTGGTCTTATTTGCCCAAAAAGGCACAAAAACCAATGCCAAGACAAACATGTCTTGTAGAAAAATCATGTTGCATTATCATCACACAACTGGAGAAAGCTCTAAGCTTTGCTTCACACATAAACTTTTCATGTGCAGTTGAAAATGGTGATATAAAAGAATGGTTTGGTTCAAAAAACCCCATTAGGCTGATTTTATAAAGCAAGTTCTTACCAAAGCCTGCAAAAAACATCAGCCACTGCTCCTGGGGGCCAGTGCCTCTCTCAGCCTTTTTCCAGGTAAAGTGATTTTAAAGACAACATACAGGACACTCAACACCAACAGGATTGTCATACACCTGTTTTTGATGGAGCACTAAACTCCCACACCAGCAGGAGAGGTTGTCCAAGATACCTGAGAAAATAACTTACAACTGTTATCACTAACAAGTCAAGCTTGCTAAGCAACAAGAGAACTGCCAGGCTCCTCTCTGGGTAAGCTCCCCATCTCCTCCTTTCACATGGGTAAGAACATTTTCTTGAAGAGTTAAAGCACAGTCCCAGGCTCACCCAGACCTGCAGCAGGGTCTAAATCTTAATTTGCAGCAGATGACTCAGGAATTTTCTCCTAGATAGTAAATTAATGGCCCTCCTAGCCCAGACCAGTGAGTGAGGCAGAGGAGCACAGTTGATTTTGTGCCCCTCTGAGCTGGAAGTGCTGCAATCCTCCAAGTACAGGAAGAATTCCAGGGGGATGCTCCTGAACCCATCAGCAGGGGTAGGACAGCACCAGCACCAACTGCTCCAGCTGCGGGTGTGGAAACAAAGCAAGGCAATCACACAACAGGATTCCCTGGGAGAGGCACGCTCAGGTACAAGAGGACACACAGAGCTGGCAAAATGAGCTTTTCCCCTGCTCTGCTGATCTCAATCAGTGTTCAGGGTTCAGGGGAGGAGGAAAAGGCAGCTTTGGCAAGAGCACATCAGCCACAGACACTGCCAGAGGCAGCTGCCTGCCCAGCACACACTTCAAACCCCCAGTGCACCCAGAGGGGTGGGCTGGGAGCTCAGGACAAGGAACAAAAACCTGGAGGAAATGAAGCTTTACTAGTTCTGCTGCTCATGGAACAACTTGTTTTAATAAAGAAAAATTACTGAAGCCATCCAAGAACAGCAGGTTCAGGTTTCAAAGCTGAAAATAAGTTGGGGTCAGATGCAAAAAGCAGCCTGCAGCAACACCATCTGTTCCTCGGGACAGCTTTTATTTCCTTCCATCTGAGCTAAGGAAAATGTGGGTTGGAATTTCAACTATTTTACTTTGCTCTATTAGGCTCAAAGCCTGCATCTACTACAGATTACTGCTGGGCAAGAGAACTGTGGTGAAACACCCAAATATTTGCCTAAGACCTACACTACTGAAGGTGCAAATCCCACCCAGGAGGACTGTGGACACGTTTGGAGGATGCTGATTCCAGGCCAGCTGGGCAAACTCTGATGTCTCACAGAGGGTCAGACTCATTCATCTAATTCAGTACTGCATGACACCTGTATTTGCTTCTACACTTGTGAAATAGAAATGAAATTCAGTATCAGAATGAAGAACTTTAAGACACTGCAATCGTTTTTGTGAAGTCTGAGTACACAGGGTAAGGGACAGTGACTTTGAGCCATCACTTGCACTGGGTATGACCAGCTAGGAGGGGTTCAAAGGCCATCATGTCATCATTCATCTGTGGCTCCTGCAGTACTTAAAAAAAATCTTCCTATTTTAGCACCGAAAGGTATCAATATCTGTGTTCTAAATCACTAACAAAATACATGAAACAGGAAAGATTATCTATAAAGCATGTTTAGAAGAGGGGAAAAAAAAGTTCCAGCAACCAGATCAAAGTACTGCTGTGATGGACTATTCTTGAAATTGGCACCAATTGCCTGTTTGATCACAGATCAAGCACAGATTATCTGGCTTTTGACTCCCATGAAGAAAGAACAACCAACACTCCTGCAGCGTTATAAAATTTGACATTTACTAAGTATTTAAAGGTCAGGATGTGAAGAATGCTCTAAGTGAAAAAGGAACTGGTGCTGAGTGTGACAGATGAGTGTGGAGGCTTTTTTCAAAGTCACTCTATAATAAGTTTAAGGCATCTATTTCTAAACCATGATGTTCACCAGTTGCTCACACCCATAAAAACCCCTTATTCCTAAGCAAAGAGCACACTCCATGAGCACCACGACCTGTTTGAAAAGGGCACACACCTTCCACAAGGTGAACTTTAGAACACACGTGGAGTTCCCAGCTCTGTAAGACCGACTAGAGCACTTCTCAGCAACCTGTCAAAAATAAGAGGTTTCTTCTGAAGAGGCTGCTCTGACCCAGAGCTGCTGTGTGTCTGCTGTCACTCTGCACAAACAATGCCCAACAACTCCAGTCACTTCCAATTTCATGCAGACAACAGGGAGCATGACAAGTGTTGGTACCTGTCTACTTTAATACTTGTGCTGGTACAGACTAATATAGATAAGGACTACTTCAAACTAGGACAAGGATTTGAACTCAAACTGGGACAGAGGGATCACAGCCTTCACTCAGAATCAACATTTCATTTTTGGAACAGAAAGAGGGAAAGGTTAGGTAACTTTAGATGGCAATTATTTCTGCAATGACATGGATAAACCCAAACACATACACAGTAAAATTAAAGCAGTGAATGCAGAAGTTAAAATGTTCATTTATGGAAGCATGTTTTGAAAAAAAAAAATGCACACCATGCAAAAGAGAATGAATTGGGAAGAGACAATCTATTGTCATTCTTAAAAGCCACAAGAAACAGGAAGTGTCCCAAGTTCTTACAGCTCTTCCAACCAGCTCTTATTAAAAATTGGAAAAGGCATACCAAAGTCAAGGAAAGAAACCCACACATTTCTCCTACAGCTTTGAACATTGCTCATTGCCATGGGGGAAACTGGATTTTCCCTCTCCCACCTTGAGCAACAAACTGGAACTGCTCAGCTAACCTGTGTCCCCACGAATGGCTGTCCCAGGAGAGAAGCAAAGACCTCAAACTCAGAAATCAGCCTCAGCTCCAAACAACCCCAGAACAGCTGGATTCACATGGAAGGGAGAGCAAGGGCTCCCAGCTGGGAAGGTGGGTGCTCCTGTCTTTCCCAACACTCCTGCTGTGCTCCAACAACATCCCCCTACACCCAGCAAACAGCCCCCAACAGCTCGAGGCCGGGGATGTGGGGGATAATTCTGTGTGCAGACCCTCAGTGGCAGCACATGAGCACAGCCCAAACGGGGAAGGCCTCACACCCCTAAAGCTCTGCCAGCACCACTGGGTGCTGGTGTCAGACAGCTCCGCGTCAGCTCCTCCACCTGCACCACACCCGAGGCTGGGGGTGCCCAGGTGAGCCAGGGATGAGCCAGGGGTGAGCCAGGTGAGCCAGGGGTGCCCAGGTGAGCCACAGGTGAGCTGGGGGGCCGAGGTGAGCCACGGGTGTCCAGGTGAGCCCGGGATGAGCCAGAGGTGCCCACATGAGCCAGGGGTGCCCAGGTGAGCCGGGGGTGCCCAGGTGATTCCCAGCTGCTCCCTTGGCTCCAAGCTGCTGCCGCTCCATGTCGGGAGCGGCCGGGCAGAGGTGCCTGGCCGGGCAGAGCTCAGCCCTGCCAGGCTGCCAGGGCTTGAGTTACACTGGCAGCGGGCAGGGCTCCACGTGAGCAGGGAACACCAGCGGAGGAGCGGGATTATCTCAGCCAGCCCAAACCAGTTCCTGCACGGCCGGAGCCCAGCCAGGGCTCCCGTCCAGCAGCGCTGGCAGGGAAGGAGCGCGGCTCTCCCGGGGCGCCGCTGCCCGCGCAGGGAGTGCCCCTGCACATTTATTTTAGGGGTTGAGAGGCTCTGCACCTCCTGAATGAAGCCTGGACTTCTGTATCAAATTGCCTCATTATTAATAATGCTTGGGTTGAAAAGCAGGAGTCTGCAGCTAAAAATATTTCTATTGTTCTGGTTACACTCGCTTTGGCTTGTAAAGCAGTTGAAAGGCTGCCGAGTTACTGGAAAAGCAGGAGCTGGGTTACAAGCTGGAAATAAAATTTGCAAGAAGCAATTCCCAGTATTAGAGGGAATAAAAGACACTTAAAAAAATAAACTTTGACTGTATAATCTCTTTCTGATAAACTGCTAGATTATAAAAATCTCCAAAGAGAAATATGCAACACAAGATCTGCCACATTTGGTTAGTCCAACAGTCTGAATATTCAGAGTTTTGTTAGACGGCAGCACATTCTTCCAAATAATTCAGGAAAAAACCTGCATAGACCAGACAATTCAAAAAAGCAGCTACAGGAGAAGCTTCCTCCCAAGTCCCATCAATTAGCTCTTGCTTTCTGTTCTGCACAGAGCCCAAAGATTTATAACCCTCTCAAAAGCATTTTTAATCCTGCCTTATGTAACTGTGAACCTACTTGGCCATTCTATCTATAATCATGCAGTCATTTCTGAACCTAAGCATCTCCCCAGTTGGTTAATATTCAGAGGCAAATTCCAAAGACATGTTTTACATACAGTGCAGTCAACTACCATTTACTGCCTTTACACTTCTTATGAAGAAAAAAATTGTTCTTCCAGCAGCTTTAAGAGGAAAATGTGCCTTCTCCCTACAGCCCATTGATCTGTGTTTGATCTGCTGTATGATCTCCTTCCTGAAAGAGCTTCAAGCAAAAAAGAGAAAAGAAACCAACCAACCCATGCACGCTTTAGGAATTGCTGCTGGTAACTTATGGCCAATTTCACTTATTCACATAAACCTCACTATATTCTAAACCAAAAACATACTTAGGTCCCTATATTTGTATTGCTTCCAGTGGCTCCTCAGGGTTTATTTCTACCTTCTACCCAAGTACTGGACAGGTCCACAAAGGCACAGCTGAATTTTGAAGCTCTCTTACAGAGAAAATGAAGCAGAGACTATATATATACTGAAGTGACTAGAGCTGAACTTTATTTTCAGTTGAAGGTATCAGGCAAGGACAAGTTCATTCCAACTGAGAGGTTTAATTACATTCCCATGCTCTCTTATTTAGGACTCCGTTTTCCTCCCACGTGGGATGGGGATATCACCAGTGACCCTGTCTCCCTCTGCACCTCAAGGAGAAGAAGGAAGAGTGATGAAAACAAACCCACAGAAGCCGGGCTAACAGGGTGAAGCCACTCACCTCCTCACAGACCTCGCGCACGGCGGCCACGCCGGGCTCCTCCTCAGGCTCCATGCCACCCCCGGGGACAATCCATCGGTCTGGATGGCGACTACTGCTCACCAGCAGCACCTGTGGAGAGCAGAGACAGCTGATGGCACCCCCAGCGCTCCCATTCGGAGCCCAGAGGTTGTCTTTGTGCCTCACACACCCCCAGACACGACCCACCCAAGGCAGGGTCTTGCCACTGCTCGCTTCTCCCTCACAAATGTGAGCTCGCTTCTCCCCATGCACAAATTCCATCAGCAGCGACACCGAGGCACTCCCACACTCCGTGTTACTTCAGCCACTGCCTCTCCCTGCTCTGATGCATTGCAGGAAAAACTCTCCTTGCACACCAAAACGCTCAATTAGCACTGGGCACAACATCACCCACAGTGCGGGTCCGCTGCAGAGTCCTCACAGCTCAGGCAACAACACAAATGCACAGATGCTGCTCAGCACCTCCACCCTTTGCAGAAGCACCCTGATTTAATTCTCCTGGTGCCTTTGGCCTTGCCTGTCCCTGCAGTTCTGTCACTAACAACACACACATGTCCAGGAACTCCCACTGCACTATTTATGTGCAATTATCTGAACAGATTCTCAGCCCCACTGTTTGTCACTTCTTTTTTGCAGTAAGCACTGAAGATTCAGCTCTGGAGCCAGCACTTGGCTACGTTTGGTTTAGAGGAGGTTGTTTAATGAGGTGAAAGCAAAATGAAAGGCTATATTAAACCTATTAAACTTAAACTCCTCTAGGAAAGGATTGCATGGAAGGACAGACTTTTGTGAGTGAGAAAAATGGCTCAACCCTCTTCGCAGGAGGGATTTGCCATACACATGCTTTGTGGCAGGTTTTCTTGAAACAGTATTTTTTATTCCAGGGTAATTCTGCTCTGTAGAAGTTCAGGTTCTGATTTGCCACCTCCCAGCAAGACAAACTCTAACTACCACTCTCAGCTGGCTACAGACTGTCCTAAAGAACAGCGAGACGCTGTGCTTATTAAATCTACTTGCAATACATGCATGAGCAGAGATGGAAACTTAAAACAACACTAATACTGTTGTCCAGCTCTCTAAACAAAGCTTGTTCATTAGAGTTATCCTGCTGTACTTCATCATTTCATGGGCACAAAGCTCGGAGCCAAAGCGACTTGCTTCAGAAACTTTCCAACATACCAGTCCAATTAGGTTCCAGGCCAGCTGTAACAGTGTCAGACATTTGGGAGTTGCATTGTGGAGACACTGCAATCCCAGGCTTTACTGGGGAAACACTGATTTGCCAGTAGGATATGAAAAGATTTGCACTAGTTACCCAAAGGAATCTACCTACAGAACTCAAAATTAAACTTCCAAAACAAAAACAAGCACAAGATTTCCAGGATTTTTCAGTTGGTTTATCTTGAAAATTCTCTGACCAAACTCATATTGGAAAAAAAATGAAGCTGCATGAGCCACCTCAGTTCCACAGCTCCAAGTGGGATGGTGCCTGCCCTGTCCTCTGGCCAGGCTGTGACAGAACAACGTTTGCTTTACAGTGACATCCCAAGTGTTTGGAAGGCAGAATTCCTTTCCTCCAGGCATCCAGTCCATGTAAAACACCACCAGAAAGCCATGCCTAAATAGGGCATGTGAACTTCATTCATCCTCAGAGCCCTTGGGACAGCAGCCAGTCCCTGACAGGCTCCTCAGCCACCTCAGTTTGCCACTGTGCCTCTTCCTAGCACAGTACTTGACTTCTACTCCATCCTCACTCATCATCCAAAAGAGCTTGGACTCAAATTCCTGACTCCAGGTCAGTTGGTGATTCTGAGGACAAAGCTAAAAGAGCAGGAACAGCCATTTCAAGTGCACCTTTGCAGCCAGGTAAGGAAGCACCAGCTCCGCCACCTCCCATTGGAATTGAGAGCTCTAGCTTGAGGGGAAAAAAAAGCAGAAAAATATAAAAAAACCCTGCAGAACCAGATCTTTGAAAGTCAGCACAGCACATCTCACAGCCCTGAACTCCTGCCACCTTCCAGGCGTGAGAACAAGGATCTGCTACAGAACCCTGGTCACAGACTGCCCCAGGAAACCTGCTCGGGCTGGGACAATGCCTCAGCAACACACCAGGAGGAACTTCTGGGTGCAAACAATGGTTTGAGGCAAAGTAAATTAACTTCAGCTGCTCTGGCAGTTGAGCATTTTCTGAATAGAATTAACATGAACAACCCTTGCTGGGAAGGAAAAACCTGTCATTCTCACACTTTTATGTAATCAGACTATTTCCTGTTTAATAAAAAGGAAATCCCATCAAGAGAGTGCAGGAAACAAGCCCTACAAGGTCATTCTTTTAAAACAACTTCAAACAGGATATTGCTACCAATGAGCTCTCCCACGACAAAGGGGCTGAGTTCCAAACAAGGGGGAGACATTGCTGTGCTGGAAAAAAACCACACTTCCAACACCAGTCCTGGATCCCAATACATCCAGCACATTCAGAGGGATCAAGGAAAAAGTTGTCATCATCTAAATCCCAAAAAGGTTTGGGTTGGAAAGGGACCTTTAAAGCCCATCTCATTCCACCCCCTACCACCTTCCAGTAGACCAGCCCAGGGTACAGCTGGCTTTTTAGCTCACTAACTTCTTTATTACATAAATAACTTTGATTTTAATACATTCTAAAGTAGTTAATTTAATCTAACAGCCATCAAAAAATAAAACAAAATTTAGTTATGTTTTTAAATCAGGCTAGAACACTTAGGGAGGTCAGACATTTCCATTTTATTCTTGCCAGGCAACTGTGTTTAAAATGGCTACTGAGACTCTTGGCCTGCCAGGAATTTTGGAGTTGGATTTTGGAGCCACGTCCTGCAACCTTTTTGGAAAAGCATTTGCAGGTAACACACATGTCACATGGCCAAGTTGTGTTTTCCAGGATTTCAAAGACAATTATGTCATTTCAAAGCAGGGAAATGAGCAACACATCTCTGGCAAGGCAGGAGGTGGCCCTGCTGAAACTCTCCCACACAATCCCCCACAGAAGAGAAAGTTTAGAAAAATAAGCCAAGTTTGAAGTGTGCAGCAGGGGCTCGAAGCAGAGAACCTTCAAAGCTGCACACAACAAACAAACCCAAACAAACCTGAGCAGTACCAGCCCTGCCTGGAGAGACAGGAAACACACCAAGACATCTAAGGCTGCCCAGACAGCCACATGGAATAAGGAGCTCCATGGGAAAAGGGGTAAAGAGCTCGTCCCTGGCATAAATCTGGGCATCCCCCATACACAACGCTGACTTTAAAACAACCGACACAAACCTGCTGTAAGTCACATGGAGGGGTTTTTTCTGTCTTCTTCTCACAGGAATAATGGGGCTCTGCAAAGCAAGAACTGGGCAACCAGGATCAGGCAGAGAATTAACTCCCCTTTTGTGGAACAGAGCAGAAGACATACCCAGGTTCTCCCACTCTGTGGTGGATTTAAACAACATCCACCACCCATAAATAAAACAAGAGCAGCTACACCATAAGGAACACGATTCCTCGAAAGAGGCTCCACAGCAGCATTTGAGCAGACAGAAAGGGACCTCAGCCCTGCAAGGAGCTGGGCCACATCACAAGTAGAAAATGAGCTGAGAACCTTCCAGACTTCCAGGAAAAGCCAGTGCTCCCCACCTGTGCCAGCCAGGGCCCGGCAAGCTGGCAGCCAGCAAGGAGAACAGCAGGCAAGATGTAAAATCCAGGTCTGGCCCAGCAGCCTCCTGCTGCCAGGAGCTGATCCATAGCTGCTGGCTCCTGACACAGCCTCTGCACTGCCTAACAAGCTTCCCCTCAATATTTTCAGGCTTTCCCTCAATATTGACATGCTTTCTATCAATACTGTCATGCTTTGTATCAACATTCAGCCGTAAATCACATTGTTTGCACAGAGAGTGAAGCACAAACCTCCTGGCACTGCACCTCCTTTCCCACTCTAGCATCATTTATCAGAACACAGCTTGCAAGGAAACTCTGCTGCCGCAGAGGCTGCAGGAGCTGGGAGGAGAAGATGGCTGACTGCAAGGCTTTTGCTGTTCAATCTGCCTTTGTCTCAAAGTTTCAGTTTAAAACGAGTGTGTTCTCAGGAGCTGAGCTGTGCTCCCATGTGTCCCATGGCCAGGCACATCCCAGAGCTGGTACTGTGTCCAGCATAACAAACACCTTGGGTGTTTCACTCAATTCTCCCAATCTCCAAATATCAGTCCTGTAATGCTTTTCTACCTGAAAAAAGTGGGATGCTCCTTTGACCACACCAAATCACCTTTAAGCCCTACGACCAGCAAGGGGTGAGAACTGGAGCAGCAGGAGAAGAAGAGGGACACGGCCGTCACCAAAGCTGTGCAAAATTAATCTCATTTCCCCGGCAGCAACACAGCCACGATGACTCCCCAGCAAATCACGTGTTTTGCCAAACTGCAAAGGCAGCTTGCCCCAGAGTGCACGCCAGGGCTCACGGGAGGGCTTCTCCCACCCTCTTGCTATTCCAGGCACGTTCTGCAGCTCGCACATGGTAGGAGGGAATCCAGCCGGTGGTCAGCAGGGCTACAGCCGGCCCTGCACCTGCCAGCTCAGCAGCTGGGACCACAACACACACTCTCACCAGCCACAGAAATCCCTCCCTGCCCGTAACAGCCTGTCCTGCCAGGAGCATTCCAGTTCCTCAAGAGGATACGTTTCCTTAGACAAGTGTTATTTTTGCACAGGCACCTGCAGCAGGCTCCGTGGGATAATGGGATTTAATGGACAACATGGGATCCAGGAGCTGGAGGTGGGAAATTCACGGCAGGACGTGCAAAAGGGAAGGGATTCGCACTAGAGGACTTGACAAAAGTAAAGCACAAGTTTTGGAATGGGAGCAAGAGGTGAACTGGAAGAAGTTCAAGTCATTTCAAGTGCTTGGATCGCACCTACAGTCCTATAACCAGAGAGGAAAAAATACAGCAGATTTTGTTGGTTTTTAGGCTGCTGGTTAGTATAACAGTAATAAATCACCACGCTGCTGCTCTGGCTCCAGAACTCCACAGGTCCTGTTACTGCTACTGCAGAGCCACTGCCTGCTCCTACCAGGGAGG